TAAAATGAAAAGAATTGTAACGATTTTATTAATGGATTATCCAACAATTATAATATTTGTTTTTAGTTTCATCCAACAATTATTAATGGATTATCCAACAATTATGACGGTCTTATTAATGAAAAAAAATGTAAATGTTTTTTATCAGAAGAAAAAAAAAATTAAATAAAAAACTGTAACGGTTTTTGGTGGAAAAATAAAATAAAGTTTTATTAATGGATTATCCAACAATTATAATACTAGTACAATGCCCGTGTATTACACGGGTTCTTGCTAATTTTTTTTCTTATAGTTTAAAGTTAATGAAAATAAGTAGTTGAAAATTTAAATACATTTTATAAAAAAAATATATGTTATTATAAAGATAAATATAATTTATTTATTTTATATATACAATATAGATATCAAATCTAAGATCATCAAAAGATGATTAATTTAATATATTATATATGTAAATCGATAAGAAATACAGAAGTTATCAGCTTTTAAATCAAAAGTCAGGGATATAATAGTCAGTTAGTGTCTCACTATGTAAAATTATACAGAATTAAAGGGTTATATTAGTACAAGTGATAAAATACCTAATTTAGCTAAATAATATTCATAGGATGTTTGAACCTAGATTATTAATTATTAATATATTAAATTATTTGTCCAAACCTAATTACGAAGCATGATTCTTCGTCAAGTAAGATCCTGAAGCACCAGAAGCAGCCACGTAGGCTCAGCGTATTCGGGAATTATATATAAGGGGGAAGGGGGATTTGTTTTAAATTTCATATATGGAATGTTGCACCTAAATGATGTTAATTGCATTATATATGGAATATTGTGGTTGTGATATATATTAAGGATGATTTTCTTAATAGTGTGTCGACTTCATGATTATTCTACGATTAAAATCAATGAAAAATATTTTAAAATCTCATATAAACCAATATGAGAGTGATTATGGGTCATGTAAACATCATTTGAAACTGAAATTCGGTGTTTTTATGTGTTCATTACAAGTGGTACTAAAGACCCAATATCAGGTACTACTGCAATACAAAAGTGGTATTATCCTTCTCTAGATCCGGTGCTACTTTTTGTAAATGTAGAATAAAATTGAAATAATCAATTTTCCTTCACAAAAGTAGGTACTAATCGCTCAAAAACTAGTACTACGTAGAACAATATGTGGTACTATTATGGCAAAAATTGGTACCAGTTTAGGAATCGAATTTTTTTAATCCTTCATGTCTATCTTTTCACGTGGATCGTTCTAGCTTGATTTGGATGAAAACTAGTTGATTTAGAACTAAATAAGTAGAATTTGGAGTAGTCACGTGTGATGATTCTATGGGATAAAGTGTAACATTGAATGAAATGAAGTGTAGTAGTAGTATTTTTTTCATTAGTGTGTCGACTTCATGACCATTCTACGATTAAAATCAACCAAAAACATTTTAAATCTCATATAAACCAATGTAATAGTGATTGTGGGTCATGTAAACATCATTCGAGGCTAAAATTTAGTTTTTATGTGTTCATTACAAGTGGTACTAAATACCCAAAATCAGGTACTACTGCAATACAAAAGTGGTACTATCTTTCTATAGGTCCGGTACTACTTTTTGTAAATGTTGAGTAAAATTGAAATAATCAATTTTACTTCACAAAAGTAGGTACTAATCGCTCAAAAACTAGTACTACGTAAAACAATATGTGGTATTATTATGGCAAAAACTGGTGCTAGTTTAGGAATCGTATTTTTTTTTTTAATTCATCATGTCTACCTTTTCACGTGGATTGTTCTAGCTTGATTTGGATGAAAAATAGTTGAAGTTAAAACAAATATGTAGAATTTGGAGTAGTCATGTTTGATGATTCTATGAGATGAAGTGTGTCATTTCATGAAATGAAGTGTGTTAATACTGTTTTCTCATTAGTGTGTCGAGTCCATGACCATTTTAGGATTAAACTCAACTAAAAACATTTTAAATCTCATATAAACCAATATGAGAGTGATTACGGGTCATGTAAACATCATTCGAGGCC